TTCTTGGCATGGACGAGCCTGATCTTGACGCTGGCGTCAATGGATACTTTGGCTGGTAAGAGATGGTTACTTTGAGAATGATGAACCACGGCTTATATTGCGAAAGGGACAACGAGAGGCCTGCAAGGAAGGCCGACGTTCATGCATTTCAGGCGCAGGGACGACCAATCACAAATGAGGAGGTGAGTGATGAGTGATTCTGCAAGACCCGAGCAGGGCTGACTTGAAAAGTATGCGCAATACATGTTTGAAAATCACATCAAAAAGGTTCCTGCATCTTGGGCCGATGTTCAAGCCGCAGAGTCCGATTCTGACACGACTGTTGACGCTAATGGACAAGCGTATCTTGCCAACGGAAATACAAATGGCCATGTTAATGGAGTCAACGGGCATGCAAACGGGCACGTCAACGATCACACAAACGGTCACACAAACGGACTTGTCAACGGTACTGCAAATGGACACGTGAACGGGCACCAGAACGGGGACAGCATTATCCCCGACTCGTTCCTTGACGGCATTGCAGTCCGCACAGTTTATGGCTTGGTCCCGCTGAAATATGCTCTGGACTGGCCCATCTTTGCATCTTTTGATGAACTCTCTGGCTGCGCAGCATGGATGGGAGGTCGAATCCCGACGTTTGAAGAGGCTCGAAGCATCTATACTTATGTTCATAACTCGAAGAAGATGGAGGCTGAGCGAACATTGGGCAGGACGGTCCCAGCAGTCAACGGGTATGTTGACAATTCAGAGAAGTGAAATAACATGATCTGATAAGCTAACGTCCATAGCCACCTGTCGAATGACGGAGTCGAGGAGACACCACCAGAGAGGAAGTCACTTGAGGCCGCGAAGGCTCGATCGGAGCTTTTTGCGGACCTCGACGGTGCCAATGTCGGCTTGCAGCATTGGCACCCGGTTCCCGTGACGGCCGACGGCGGTCGCCTCGCGGGACAAGGTGAGCTAGGAGGCGTCTGGGAGTGGACCAGCACGCCCCTTGCTCGCCATGAAGGGTTCGAGCCCATGCCTCTGTACCCTCAGTACACGGGTAAGACGACACTTGGACTTCCCGAGACTGGCATTCTTGCTAACGATATACTGTAGCCGACTTCTTCGATGGTAAGCACAACATCGTGCTTGGAGGATCGTGGTCAACGCATCCCCGCATCGCCGGCCGAAGATCATTGTGAGTTCACTATTGAGATGCCAATAACTACCCTACTAATATTTCGCAGCGTCAACTGGTATCAACGAAACTACCCCTTTGCCTGGTGCGGCGCAAGACTCGTCAGGAACATTAACTAAGCAGTCTTTTTTCTCTCTCTTAATTGGCTTTCATCTGAATACTGTAGCATTACCTCTCTTAATCGCTTCCCTTCTGGCAAAAGCTCTCTGTTCAACACCTGCTTTTGCCACGCGAACAACTCAACTTTGTTCGCATCATTCCCTTGGCACTTCATTCCAAAAGCTTGAGCATCTATTTCATTTGACTTGCTGGAAGCATCATTGGGCGGAAACGAAAAGGAATCAAGGGGCATTCACATGGGCTTCCTATCTCGGTGTATCATGTTTCTTCCTACTTTGGGTTCATGATTGGGCTTGGCTATTGTTAATTTGATATGAAATTGGGAAATTGGGCATCGAGGAACGTTTTACTGTACTACTACTTTCGCCAAACCAGGCGACTTCCGCCGACTTGAGCGAGAAATCATCAATCAAGATTCACATTCGCTAAACCCCTTCTAGTTGAAGATCTATACCAATACTGAACGAACCAAGATTCACCCGTTCCGTGATACCACATCTTCGGTTCCCGGGCAACTACCTACCTACCTACCTACTTCATAAGTTACGTACTGCCACTTCGGGAACAAAACCCAATTGCCGAACACCCATCCATCCATCCCCGCCTTTTCCAACCCCCGGACCAAGAAAAAAAAAAGTTCCTGCAAACCCCTTGGCTGGGGGTATGCAGGTCATACTGCGCGCGTGGACAGTTTCCACATTGCGGCAGTGACGTCAAGAGGCCGTGGGGGTCAGTCTCCTTCGGTTCGTCCTTCTTGGACCTTCCCGTCTTTTGTTGTATTGTGGGGGAGGGTATCACGAACAAATTACGAGTGCAGGCAAAGATTCGTGAAGGGGGGGGGACGGGGGACGGCCACCTTGCCCGCCTCATCGTGAGGTGTTCCTGTCACCGCCTGCACTATGTAGATATGTACTAGGTATAAACTGTACGAGTTTTCGCCTTGCATGACTTTTCAGTCGCATATTCTCGTATACATGAACGAGTGATTCGGCGGGAAGTCCAGACTGGAAGCGTGTAATGCTTGGGAAATTCAACTTTTTTTTTGTTTGGACTCCGTCTTACTTGACTAACTTGCTTATGTTGAGTTCTAAAACAGGCATTTCTTGCCGACCTGTCTCTCCCCGTCATCACTAGGACAGTTTCCCCGAAAAGGCGCCCGCATAATCTAACCTGTGACCTGTTCAAGTGAAAGGTACCTTACAGGTGCCCAATTCACGGCCACTACTTTTGTAAAGCACTTTGACCCATGCGGCTATGACCCGCTTGCCTTGCTCTGCGTGCCTGCATCCTAGGTCCCGGAAACGCCGACCGCTCTATATGTCAAAGGCCGGATTCTCGTCTCCACTACACGGCCCCGGTACATCCGCGGCCGGCCGGCCTCGTTGGCATCCACCGCAACGCGGAGGGATTCTCCCGCCCAGATTCTTTTCATCGCTAGGCCGAGGCCTTCATGTTTTGAAATCTTACGTCCGAGGCGGGTATATGTTTGTTGGGCAGTGAGATCAACCGTTCAAGCTGCCGTAGATGTCGAGAAGCTGCTCAAACACATAACTGGGCAGTTTGACGCCGTTCTCTGTCACGAGGTTGGAGATGAAGTCAGGGGGCTGTGACATTTTTGTTAGCAAACAAGGGTACTCCAATCAAGAAAGCGTGTCTGCGGTGCAAAACTCACAGTGTAGTCCACGGCATCCTCGGGCTGCTTGCTGGCACCATCCGTCCGGAAGTCCAACACATGCTGCTGGAAACCGAGATCCCGCTGGTCCAGGGGCACCTTGCGCACAAACTTGTGAGACTCGGCGGCGACGTAAAAGGGCAGACTAGCCTGCTTTGCCAGCTTGGCGATCTGGTAGGTGCCCATGCGCGAGATGATACCGCCGTTCTGCGTGACGGCCTCGGCGCCGACAAAGACCATGTGGACCTGCCTCAGCAAGCCGAGGACGTGAGCGACGGCGGGCTCGGCAATCTCAGCGACTGGAATGCCCTTGTCGCGGAGCTCCTTGACGACGCGGTCCGACTCGGCAGGGCGGTGCTCGTCGCGGACGTAGACGACCTTGAAGCGGACGCCGCCGTCGCCGGACTGGTCTGCGGCGCGGAAAAGCAGGTTGGAGACGGCGCGGGAGGCGCCGTGGGTGAGGACGACCTTGCCGTCGCGGACGAAGCGCCAGCCGGCGTCGGCGATGCGGTCGCGGGCGGCGATGGCGCGGGAGGCGAAGAGGCGACCGTTGCGGAGGAGGTGGGTGCGGACGGCTTCGAAGGATTGGTAGGGGGAGGGGGCGGCGGCTGCCGAGGCGGATACGTTTGCGCCTTCTTGCTGCTTAAGCGAGGAGACAAGGTATTGCAGGAAGAGGTCGGTGCCGGCCTGGAGCGGGACGGGGTTGTTGACGGAGGCGTGGAGGGTGTTTGAGGCGCGCTTGACGAGGTCGAGGGTTTCGAAGACGGTGGTTGTGCCTGAGGCGTTGAGGAGGGAGATGAGGGCTTCGATGGCGGCGACGGGTTTCGTCAGGTCTGCGTCCTCGAGGAGGGAGTGATATGTTGAGACGATGCTGGTGGGCGAGAAGTTAGCATTGTCTCAGAGGTTTTGCTGGGGACAGAATAGGTGGTGCTGTACTCGATGGCATCGCTGGTCTTAACGCGGATGGGGATATCGGAGGAAGCCTGGGGCTTTTGGCTGTCGCCGGATGCTGTATGGACATCCTGTGAGTATTCATTTCATTGCAAGTGACATGCTTGATTGCAGGTAGAGGGGCAGCGTACGTGTCAGGTCGCCGGTAGCCATGGTGATGTCTGAGAAGAAGGATTCGATTCGGAAGATGGGCAAGGCCCTGCGCAGCATGCAACTCGTGCGCAAATGCTGTCGATGTTTGGCGTGAAGTTCGTCAAACAGGCTTAAGATTTGACCGGCGCGAAAAGAGAGAGTTCGGTGTGGGGGTTTTGTGGTGGGACGTCGAGTAGAGAGTCGCGATGGCGGGGTGTGGTGTTGAAGCTCTAGGAAATTTTGGGCAAAAGGCAGTGACTCAATTCCCACGAGTGACCGAATGGAGCTTGCCGTTGCGCCCAGTCCCAGGGATTGATGGCTCTGATTTGGCGGGGTAGTTTTGCTCCAGTCTGGAGCCCTGGAGGGGCTCTCCTTTGACCACACTGGAAGCTCCGATACGTGACTACCTGGCCTCCCACGTCATTTCAATGTAAAAAGCAAGTACCCACCTATCTGCTCCGTACCCTTCCAGGTTGCCCTCCGATCCCGTACGCAAGGTGCACACCTCCGTCCAGCCCCCCCGTCGGTCAAGGGTCCTTACAACACCACAGAAATAGCGGTCTCATCGCCCTGTACGGAGCATCGTCACCCTGAAAGCATCCCACTACCGACAGCGGGGTCCCCTCCACTCCCGAAACACTGACACCAAACAATGCCCAGCTAATCAAGCTCCCGTCCTTGTAAGCCTTCATCTCCCTTTCCCACCCCCCTCCCCTGAATTAGAATACAAGGAAAGCTGTTCAACCCCGTTCTTTCTTTGTCTTCCATTTCTCCATCATGAAGCTTCCACATCTACACGATCCAGACACTCGTAGAAGCTCCCAAGCACACCATCTTACCCCTCCTTGATAGCAGTCGAAGCTATATCCTTCCCTCCTCCTACCACAACCACCACATCTACAACACCATCACGGTAGTTCAGACACACAAAAGAACACAATGGAACAACTCGATCCCACAACAGGCACCCCCCTCCCCGCCGACGCAATCCAACGCATCCTCTTCATCGCCTCCGGCGCCCACGTCTACAACATTCCCCCCCTCACCTCGAACAAGGGCTACACCGCCGCCGGCTGGACCGACCGCCAAATCTTCACTGCGCGCCTCCGCGTCCTCGAAACAGCCTGGGAAACCACCGCCGCCGCCCTCCCGACACCCGTAGGCGTAGGCTCCGCCGTCGTCCCCGTGGCCCCGGGAGCACCCGCGGGCATAACCTCGAAAGAGAATCACATCAAGGTCGACATCGTCCTCGAGGACCCGTCCAACGGCCAGCTCTTCGCCGCGGCGCCCTACACGTCCATCAACGCCGTCGAGCCCGTGCTCGATTCCTCGCGCTTCTTCGCGGTGCGCGTCATGGACGGACAGGGTCGCAAGGCGGTGTTGGGCGTCGGCTTCGAAGAGCGCAGCGAGGCGTTTGATTTTGGCGTTGCGCTGCAGGAGGCGCAGAAGAGTTTGGGGCTGCTGGACGCCAGTCACGCCAAACAGGCTGCCGAGAATAGCAAGCGCGCCGAGGAGGAGAAGAATAAGGACTATAGTCTCAAGGAGGGCGAGACCATCACCATCAACTTTGGCGGGTCAAAGATTGGGCGTCGGTCGAGGACCGAGTCTGGGTCCGAGATCCCCGGCGGAGGAGCGGGAGGGTTGCAGGGTTTCTCTCTGCCGCCGCCCCCGAGCGCGCCGAAGAGCGGTGGTGGTGCTGGCAGCTTCGGATTGCCGCCGCCGCCGAGTGCTGCTAATGTCCGGGACAAGAAGAGGGAGAACAGGAAATCCGCACAGGATCTGGGGTTCGACGACGGCCAGTTTGGCGAGTTTGCGTAAGGGGCTGCTGGCTGGCTGCCGCAGAAGTGTCACGCACGAGCTGGACGGCTGCTGCTATATACAACAAGGTGTTTTCGTCCCGCAGTTGGAAACGAGAAAAAGTAAGCAAAAAGCTCAGCTCCCTATGATAGGGAGCCTACGAAAGATCCGAGGAGACTTTGATTCGCCCCAAGGGATTTTTGCAGGATTCGAACCTAGGACCTATGGGAGCGGGGCTATTCAGAACCTGCTGACATCCCCCGCCACGGCATGGTATTTGGTGACAGATTCAAATAAATTTGTTCACTATAGACTTATGGAGGCGGCGGCAGCGGGCGGTGAATCAGTGAGCCTGGGATGGATGGGTGGTGGTTGTGGTGTATTCACGGCTGGGCAGGAATAAACAAAAAGTCCAAAAAGAGACGCGTTGAGGAGTTCGGGGGCGGCCCTTTTTTTTCTTCTGATGATTATATAGTAAAAGAGATTCCCTACCCTGCTTTGCTGCGAATACTATGTCTACCAATGCCATGAATGAGACGTGAAAATGAAAGCAGTACACGCATGCTGGACTCGTCTATATGCGCCTGTCTGCCTTATAGCCATACCTAGTCCTGATAGACCTACGATACTGGCTCGTGTGCCTTATCGCCTGGTCTACTTATCCCCTCAACCCCTGGCCAGAGGCTTTTCATTGATGGAAGACTATCCCTTCTGCTCGATGTCAGAAGTGAAATCTCTCTGCTTGGTTTAGTGTCTTGGACCTCGTTGACGTCCTGCTGCGGTTCTTCCGCCCTCTCTTCGTACATAAATTGTAAGCCATGATTTCCCAAGTCCTCCGCAAGAATTTCATCAGAATGTTGGTTGTGGTTGGTCCACAGTTCAGCTGGCACTGTATTATATACCTCATACCCATGCTCTTCAAACCGAGGCGCCGCCACGTCCCACGTGTTGTAGACCGGATGGCAACCCGCGGGAAAGAAGACGGCGGAGGCAGCATCAAACGGCGTCGGCATCATCGATGTCACATCGGAGAGAGTCGTAGCGTAAGCGGCAGCACCGGGTGAGTCGACTGCCCACCACGCGCATCTTCGCTCGTAGAGTTCGTTCTGTATCTGGACCCACGTCTCGCGGCTCTGGAGCTCCACGTAGATATCGCTGAGCCGCAGTAGAATGGCCTTCTTTTGTGCCGTGGCGTCGGAAATCTTGCTCTTGAGCAAAGCTATCTTCTTTCGTGCCTTGCGACGCTCGTCAGACGGCAGGCCGCTGTCAACATTCACCTGAAGGGTCGACAGCTTTCGCATGAGCTCGATCTCGCGTTCGTTCTGTTTGCTCAAGGAAGCCATCAAGTAAGCCTTTTCCGTGTATGACTGCTCGGAAAAGTTCAGTGATGTCAAAGCTGACCACAAGTTGGTAGGTGTGTTGATGTTGGTTCTCGGATTCGGGCATCCTAGCCTCAAAACAGGCCGAAGTGGTGATGGTACTGCTGGTGTATAAAGCATTCTTGACCCTATGCGGTCCGGTAGGCTTGTAGCATTGGTCGAGGCCGAGTCGTCGGGCGATGTTATAGAATCTTGAACATTGATGCTGGAAGGAACGAAAGCTGGAGCTTCGACGTACCGATTCATAGTGAGAAGCACTGACAAACGATGGATGGTACTAGTGTCGATAAGATTGCTTTTCGAGAAGGAACCGTAGGCTCTTTCTGGTCAGATATAGGTTGTAACCAATTAAGGTCGATTCCCACTGTGTCCCAATACGGCCAATTCGAGACAAAGGTCAGCTTGAAGGGTGCAGAAGTATGAGGCTCCCTCGCCGCGGCATCCCCATACGCGAGACCGAGGGCCTTTATCAAACTCGATGAAATAAAGATGCAGTGACCAAAAGAAGGCCCGATTCAGTCTGGTACGTCTGAGAAAGAGACATTTGACAAGGGCAAACAGTGGCGTAGTCGAAGCTCCGGTGCGATCAGTGCCTCCAAACAATGTCCGAGATCACAGTAGATGCGGCCTGCCCTTGAAGTATGCATTGCAGACAAACCCATCTGCTTGTGCTGGCAGATGAACATGGGCAATTTGACCTGTAGGTTCGTCAGCCCAATAGTTCTCAGACGTAGAGCTGAGGCGAATGAACGGCCTAGGAGCTACTGAAACGCAATTGTGGATTTGGTTATTAATATGAGAACCGAACGATTAAGGAGGGCACTATGCCAGCTTTGATGCGATTGGTAGCGAAACAACCACGTCACTCACATAGCTGTAGTCGTTGTCGCCATCATTAAAAACGGTCGTGCCGTTGGTCTCATCCAGACGAGCACCCTTGCTAGAGAGGCCTGGATCGCCATACGTCTGCGGCCGTCCTACCCGTGCAGGGGCATTCCACACCTTTGAGGAGCAACTTCCAAGCCTGTCATAATGGCACTTGCCGTTGTTCCTTTCGACGCAAGGGATTCCTTTTCAGATGTTGAAGCCTTCGTGCCGAGGAGGGTCGCAGAACCGCCAGAGACCAGCCGCTTCCGCAGCTTTTCGGACCGAGGATACCTCGTCTCCCGATACGGCTCGGTTGATTTCGCTATATCGGACCTCGTCGTCCTGGTCGATGCTCTTTTTGCGTCTCTTGGATTTGCCAACGTGCGCATCCGGGTGGTACTGCTCCATAATGTTGACGAAACAGTCTCTGGAAACTTCCTCTGCCAAGAACTGCATTATCCGATATCCCTCTTGCTCCTTTCCGGGCATGACAAGATGGCGTACTAGAAGGCCACTCTTGGCGATGCCATCTCCGGTAAAGCACAGGTCACCAACCTGATTTTGCATTGCTTTGATGCTCTCGCGGGCCGTGGCGGCATAGTCGTCCGCCTTGAGCAACCGCTTGGATGTCGCCGACTCCCATACCTTGAAATCAGGTAGATAAATGTCCACCAGGCCGTCAAGTAGCTCAAGGAAGCTAATGAATCAAAGCTGGAAGTGTTGTAGATGATAGGCACTCGCAAGCCGCGCTCCTTCGCATGCAGGATGCTGAGGACAACTTGAGGAACGACATGTTCCGGGGTGATTAGGTTGATGTTGTGAACGCGGCCAATTTGCTGTAGCTTGACGTACCATTCGCCCAGCTCCTCGGGCGTTAAGTCTTGGCCGTTACGCTGATGTGCAATGTCATGATTCTGGCAGAATACACAACGCAAATTGCAACCCGAGAAGAATACAGCGCCACTGCCATTGTGTCCCTGGACGCAAGGTTCTAGATCGTGGTCAGTATGTCAATCTTCTGCATGGCCTCTGAAAAGTTGGAATAGACGTTGGATGTGGAGAATGGGTTTACTCCAGACCTTCACCAAAGTGCGGAGCAATCACGTTGACTTTGGTATCATTGCCAATCAGACACATTCCAGTCGTCTCGAAACGGTTGACGCCGCAGAGACGTGGACAGAGATTGCACTTGGACAGATGGGCGTAGGCCTTTGATCGCTTTTTGGATTCATCGATGGAGGACAAGGCCATGTAACGGGGTGTGTAGTCGTCCAGGAGGAACGGGGGCGCCAGGTGGAGGTAGCGGCGAGCGCCCGTCGTACTCTGGCAAAAGATCTCGTATCTCCGTGCTAAGGCTCGTCTCAAAATGTTCATCTTGCGAGTTTAAACGTGACAATCCCAGGTGGAAATGGTGGAAACATTTCTTGCGTCACAGGCCGATGGGAAGGAGGAGAAGTGACATTACTTCATGTGTCGTGCGATTGGCTCAAATGCCCAAAGGTGGGTCTCCACCCGTCCATCGATTGATAGCGAAGGAACTGTCCGTCCGTGTCGTCTACGGGTTCCTGCTACCCCTTCCGTGTAACCTCCTCACATGTTTCCTTTCAAGTTTGCCATCAACGTTTCCAAAATTTCCTCCAGGAAGCAGTCCGAACTCCCGCAAGACCTACAGAGTACATACAAGGCAAAGTTCGGGCACATTTCCGCGTTGCATCAATGATCGGCCTGGCACCGAGAAGCTTATACCACGGTCGATGTCAACCTCTTAATTTGTTACTTGACCGTAGCTCGCATTCGGACCATCGGTTGTGACAATGTCCAAACACCTCTTACGGCTGCAAGTTTAACGGACCTATCAACGGCACCCAGTCCTTTTTTTTATTTTTATTTTTGGGTTGAGAAGAGACGGATCGTCCCAGCGTTGTAGCCGTGAGGGGAGTACGTATATAAGTACCAACACTCCCTTTCACAGGTTTGTCTTCGCTCATCATTTCGACATGCAGTTTCGCCGACTTGTCTTGGTTTTGAAGCTGGTCGTGCTGTAGTCATCTTTTTTCCGGCTCTACGCCAGGGCCCGGCTTCCGTGATGATCGATATAAGACCACCCGACTAGAGGGGCACTTTTTGCTTTTGCAACGACCCACTAACTGTGCTTCCTGAGTCCCGACTGTTGTACTTGAATCAACAAAGTTTGGAGACTGCAAGCCATTTCAGTCAGAGTCTTCCGTATGACACCTCCAAAACATCAGTCAGATACATCAGACTTCCTCGACACACTTAAAACCTTCATCGGGACGGTTTGCCCAATAATTCACCCGCCGTATAAGTTGATGACTTGCGACGATCGTCGGCTTACTTGCGCGAGCTGAGTCAACTTCAGATGAAGGAGGGGCAGTTCCTGGAATAAGAAAGTTGAGTCTCTCGGCAAAACAGTCTCCCATGAATCTCTTCGCTCTGAAGTGGTGCGAAGAAGAAGGACTTGCGAGCTACGGGGTACCGCCTAGAACAACTTGCAGCGCATTCTAGTGTTTTCGAACATATTGCTGTGGATAGAACGAACGCCAAGAATGCGAACTCGTGGGATGAGATGGTCTCCGGAACTTTCTCTTACAATACGATCTCATGCCACTTTTTGTCTTGCTGGACTGAGGTGCTCCAGATATCTGCGTGGAGTACTCGAGAAACCTCATCAAAGTGGCAGAAGAAACGAGGTTTTGGGGATGGAGTATGGATTTATACTTGACGGAGTCGAGTCTTCTCGTGCCCAGTCATGCGCTGGTGAGTTCTCAGTGACTCCGTCCTTTCACTCTTTTCCCATTGTCTGTGTACATCGTCAAGGCCGGGCGACTAAGCCTTGCGTCCATTCGTTAGAACCAGACGTTCAATTGGAAGAGCTCTTTCTCACTCTCATTCATCAGAAAGCTCTTTGCCTTTTTCGCTGATTCAGTGTCAATTATTTCTACTTCGTCATCTTCTTTTTTAGTGTTCATGCACCTTGGAAGGGCATTTATTTTTGAGCCCTGACGACAACATCTTTATTCTTAATATTCCGAGGGACGCCTTTCGACTTCAACCAAGATGAATTCGACTTTGGCGTTGCTAGTATTCTTATCCTGGGTGCTGCTTCCCATTGCGAGCGCCCTACACATCATCGACGAGACCATCGATAAGTTTCTCCTCGGAGAGTATGACTACATCGTCGTCGGTGGCGGCCTCTCAGGATTGGTCGTCGCGAACCGCCTAAGCGAGGATACCAACAGTGAGTCTTTCCTCCTCATCATCCGCGCGCAGTTCAAAATCACTGATCACATACCAGCGACTGTCCTCGTAATCGAGTCTGGCGAGCTCGACAACCGTGAGAGCAGGGTCATCGCGCCCGGCTACATCGGTCTCACACCGCCCTCACCATACGGCAAAAGCGTCACGACGGCTCCTCAGAAGTACCTCGACGGCAAGACGCGTGGGATCAGCCAGGGAAGAGTCATTGGGGGTGGTTCCGTCACGAATGGCATGTGCTGGACAAGAGGCTCGGCCGCGGACTTTGATTCTTGGGAGGAGTTAGGAAACCGGGGATGGGGTTGGAACGGCCTTCTTCCCTACTTCAAGAAGGCGAGTTTGATATTAAATGACAATGAATGATTGGACAAAGCCCAAGCTGACGGAACTTATAGGTTGAGACGTATACTATGAATGTTGATCAAAACATCCAGGACCGCCTCAACATCCACCCAGATATGTCGGTTCACGGCACAGAAGGACCCATCAACGTCGCTTACCCTGACTACTTCTACAATTCCTCGGGTACGTATTCTCTCGGAAAGCTTTTCTCTTCCACTTTCTGACTTTATAGATCATGTCATTCACGGACTGTCAGAGATGGGCATACACCTCTCGGGCGACCTTAACACGGGCGACCCGACGGGAGCCATGATGGTTCCGTCCAGCATGTCTCCCACTAACCAGACCCGCTCCGATGCGAGAACAGGCTACTTCGACCCGGCCATCTCGCGTTCGAACCTGCACATCGTTACCGGACAGACCGCGACGCGTCTCATTGTGGGCTTGCCCGGCTCGCTGGCCAAGGAGGGAACCCGCCGTCGAATCATTGGGGTCGATGTAAGTCATCAGCCGTTCTCCTCAGGTCTCGAGTTCAGGGGGAGCTAGTTACTAAATGTGTGTAGTTCTTGTCTGAGCCTTTTGGCATCAATCGAACCATCACCACCAAAAGGGAAGTCATCCTGGCCGCTGGCGCCATCCAGTCGCCCACGCTTCTCCAGGTTTCAGGTATTGGTCCTCGGAAAGTCTTGGAGTCTTTGAATATCTCTGTGCAGATCGAGCTGCCCGGTGTCGGGAACAACTTTCAGGATCATCCCATGGCCCAATTTGGGTTTGACTGTAAGTTTCCTCGCTTTTCCTCCCACTCCCTTCCAACTCACAAGATTAACCTGATTTACAGACTCTAACTCGTCCATATTCACTTCTCGCGACCTAACCGGCGCCGCCTTCGATAGCGCGCTCGACACCTTTGTGAAAAACCACACTGGTACGTCAACACTCTCAAACCACTCATACGAGCATTTCTAACCTTCCGTAGGCCCCCTAACCGCACCTCTCATCAACACAGTCGCCTTCCCAAGTCTCCAATACCACGCCTCAGAATGGAAACCTCTCCTCCAACACTCAACAAACCAATCCTCCTTCACCTTCCTTCCCCTCGACACCCCGCCAACAGTCCAATCCGGCTACACCCGACAAAAGCGCCTCGTCCTCGCCCACCTAGCCCGCCCCGACGTGGGCGCCTACGAGCTCCTTGCCGCCTCCTGGGGCCAAATGTCCATTGCCAACCAAAAACCCCTATCCCGCGGCACCGTCCGCCCCCGTTCCGCCTCAATCTTTGACGGACCTCTGGTAGACCCACGGTACTGCGCCGACCCGCTCGACTGCAAAATCATCCGTCTCGGCCTGCAACTCGTCCAACGCCTCATGCGAACGGAGGCGATGACGCCCTTGCAGCCCGTCGTTGAGGATCCGCGTTTGAACTCGACGGACGAGACGGAGCTCATGGCGGCGCTGAAACCGCTTGTTGGCACGGAGTATCACCCCAGCGGCACGACGAGCATGATGCCGATAGAACTGGGCGGGGTCGTGGATGCAGAGCTGATGGTGTATGGGACGTGTAACCTCCGCATCGTCGACGCGGGTATTATGCCGCTGGTTCCTGGGGCGCATATACAGGCTGCTGTGTATGCCGTTGCCGAAAAGGCTGCGGATATAATCAAGGATGCTAAGGGTGGACCGGACTTGTGTCCTTTGGGTAGGCCGGAGTGGCCACCTGTTTAAGGGGCTGTATCGTTGAGATTGAGGATTGAGAATCAAGTGAAGCGGGCCGCAGAACTAGATGGCGGAGGGATTATGATTAATTGAACTTCATGACCGATTCAACTTTGATAGTAATGATAATCAGGCGGCCAGTCATCTTGACTGACAGAAAGATTCAACAAGTTGGCCCCCTATTAAGCTAGTTTTACAAGTGCTCAAAGGGAAATCTCAGCCTGCGCCGCGGCTGGCTAAGATATATATGAACGTATAACAAAAAGAGTTCACCCCCCGGTGGGGGCTACACCTCTTGGTACTCATGCTAGGATTCGAACTCGGGTACTCTCGTATACGCTAAGCCTGTCGTCGAGTGGGCTGGTTGGCGATTTTGATTGTTGACCATAAACCACTCCACCACCCAGCCAGATTGACCTGACCCGTCGACCTAGACGGGCGCCTGCTGGCTGGTGACAGGAATGGGGTTGAGGGGGTATATATAGGTATGTACTAAGGCACCAAGGTAGGCAGGACGGGAATGCTCTCACGTCTGCCTGACTGCACCTGCCTGATAGTCAATACACTGTGTAAGGTAGACTGTGATTTGACTGAAGGCACTCCTCGGAGTCTTGCACGCCGTTCCGAACAGCAAAGATATCTTACGGGCACCGAAGCTATTAGTTTCCTTGCTTGTAGTCTTGTGATGTCAATGCGAAATGAAATCCATATGAAGAAGTGATGAAGCTCATCACCAAGGGCTTTCGTATTTCTACTCTCAACTAGACGTATGAAAGATGCCGGGCGTCGTAAATATGACTACAAGACAAGACATCCACGGGATAGACCTTCAACACGACACGTAAACAGCCAAAGGCATCGGACTTAATTATCTCCAATCCCAAATCTACTCCATAAAGACAACGCCGCCGCCGCCGCCTATAACCCCTTCATAAACTCCAGCAACGAAATCGGCTTCCTAACAGCATTATTCAATCCCTCATGGTACGTGACCCAGACCTTATTATCGCTCTTCCCACCCTCGTGTTCATGCCCCTTCGTCCTCTTGGCGTTGCCATCCACCTCGCCCAGCGGTCGCGCAGGAATCACACGCCCGAAAAAGTCCTTCTTCACGCTCGACGCGAGGATCCTCTCCTGCTCCCTGATGATGTTCTCCTTATCCGCCTGTTGTTGCTGCTGCGTAAGGGTATCCTCTACCCCACCCAGCGGACCGCCGATCTTGAAGCGCGCCTGGCGTGCCGCGGCTTCGCGTAGGATGATGGTCTTTTGCAGTTCTTGGTCCAGGACTTGGCGGACGGCGTATCGGGTTGGTGCTTGGCTGGAGAGTACCAGGTTCCCTGCTGTCTCGTATACCGCAAGGGCATCGAGGTCACTGTTTGATTTGGTTAGCGGAATTCCACACCTGTACGCAATGGAGGGAAGAGAAACAACTTACGGTTCCATGCGGTACACCCATTGCGGGCCCCTATTCACCAGCGAATCGGTCTCAATCTTGCCCTTCTGCATCTCGATCCCAACCTCCGCCATGATCTCCGCCGCCCGCTTTACCATGATCTTCTCCGTCTCTTTCCGTACGCTGGCTGTACTGATACCGCTGCCGCCAATGACTACCGGCTTGACGTCCGGTGACACCATCCGGACCAAGTACGGCATAAACTCCGTTGATATGTCCTCAGCACTTCGGAACGACCGCCCCAGCGTGGGCGTAAGCTGCGCCTGAATGGCCTGGAGCATGGCCTTGTTCTGCTTCTGCGCTTCAAAAGCAGCATAGTCGGCTCTGGGGCCCGAGAACGGTACCGGTGGTTCGCCGTCCTCCTCCGTGGCACCCCATTTTTTGTCGTAGCCTTTGTTGACTTGGTGTCGCTTGGACGAGGCGAACAAGCTGTGGCAGGCCAGGATCGGCTGGCTCAGGTACGGAGCCAACTCCCACTCCTGACTTCCAAATGTGCGTGAAGAGCAAGTGTCGAGAAAGTTCATCCAGTCGTATGCGGCGTCTGGCTTCGAGAGGAACGAGTCGTCGTTGAATTCTCGATTTGGGTACTCTAGGAACACGTCGGTCATGACACGCTCAACCTCTCCGCTGGTGTCAATCATGTGCCGTAACCGCTCCATGGCGTTCTTCTTGTGGTATTCTGCGAAGCCCAGCTGAGCCTTGGGCTGTTCGTGTTGATTTGTGAAGTTTTGAGACGTGTCCAGTGCTTGTTTCGGGAACCCGCCGCCCTCCTGAAAGACGCGCGACACAATGTCCTTTGCACTCCCTCTCCCGAGCCCTCTAGCTCCTCCAGCACCTTCGGTAAGGTCGTGCATGACGTTTTGGTCCAGCCATTGCCTTGTCAAGCGCTCATTGAAGCCGGCGGCAGCTCTGAAGCGACCGGCTACCCATTCGCCAACGACCATGACTCCTCGAAGATCGCCTTCAGCTCCACTCTCCGCGCCACGCTTTGCATCGATGCCGCTGGTCATGCCCCAGGCGGCCTCGCAAACCTTGCGCGCCGCGTCCTTTTCACAGGGGATGCCCTCCTTATCGAACACAGTCTTGAGGCGCGTGACAACAGCATCAATGCCTGGTTTACCGACGTGGATGATCTCCGCCATGCCTGACTGCCGCAGAGGTCTGAGAGAGGGGTGGTAGACATCATTGCAGATGAGGATTAGGGGGCGCAGTAGGCGGAAATCGTCCCCCTTTTTCTTCTTCTTCGAGTACGAGGCATTGGCTCCACCAGCACTGTTCTTTTGATCGATGAGCACGAGATCAATCAGAGCCTTGACGAAACCACCCTCCCCTGAAGCGCCAGAGCCGCCTACAACACCGTCGACCTCATCAACAATGACACAAGCTGGTTTGGCGACCTTTTGCTGCACCTCTCCGTCCTTGGACTTGACGTTCTCGACAGTCTTGACACTCTCAGTTCCCAGGGACGTTCGTATCCGGTTCTTGACGACGTCTCGGCTGCGGTCGTCGCTGGCGTTGATCTCCATTACCTCGTAGCCCGCTTGTCTCGCACAGACGTGAGCCAGAGTCGTCTTTCCGAGACCCGGTGGCCCTGTCAGCATGAGGATCTTCTTGTGCGGCTTCTCCTCCTCTTGAACCTGCTTCGCGCCTGGCCTTCGCACGATCGGGGCCTTCTTCGCAATGCCGGGAAACACGATGGGGTCCCAGCGCTTCAGCCAGCGCAGGACCATACGGTTCGTACCATCGTCACCGCAAAGATCTAGGAAGTTCTTTGCTCTGTACTTTTCGGTCCATAGAAGCGTCTTCTTGTGAGGTTTGCCAGGGTGTGTCGGCTCGACTGACCGCACAGGGATATCATTTTCCTTTCTTTTTGTTCGTGGTTCTGAGGCCTCGCTCTTCGCCTTGTCGATGAGCTCGTTGATAGCTATACCATAGTATGCGCGCTTGGCCTTTCCCTCCTTTGTCTTTGACCGGGCCGCAATAAGGCTTTCGTACGATGCGTTAGTTGCCGGCTTTCGTTGCTTGATGGTGGTAGTTGCTCCAGTACAGGTCGTGAGTTTGAAGGTCCTCGAGGATTTGAAGATCGATGGCGTGTCCTGGAGCAGTGATGATGCAAGGCTCTGAGGTCGGATAGTGGGAGGGGCATTTCGTGTAGGCGCAACTTCAACACGATCAACCGACTTTTCAGGTGCTTGTGCTGTCGGCAGGGGGACATCATCGTCTAGGCGGGCGGTGATGGGTGCTGGACGCTGCAAGCGGGCGCTAAAATCGAGAATTTGCTTCTTCAACGGAGGCTGCTGCTCACTTTCGTCGTCGGAATCGGAATCGTCGTCGAGAAGGAAGCCGCTGTTGACCTTTGGCTTTGATTTCGAAGGCTCAGCCGCCGGGGGCCTTGGGCGTTTCGCTGCGGGCGGTGATGGGCTGGCGGGAAATGTGACTGGTGAAGATGCGCTCGGCATTTTGGAGGAAAACTCAATTGAGCCCGAATGATTCTATTCTCTCGTTTATCGTTGAGACGGAGTTGAGTGCTGCGCTGAGTGCCTCAACTTGTGATTTGGTGGTTTGGTGTCGCTACAGTGACAATTAATCTTGAGAGGGAAGACGCGACTCGACGCGACGGACCCTTGGACGCGTTAATGATTTGGTGGGGTCCATGGACTCGCTCTAAGCTCCTTAGTGTACCGTGCTAATTGAGACACAGTCAACTTAAGCACTGGATCTACGATGAGGGAGTACCGCGACATGTATCTTCGGCTGACTTTATGAGCTGCATCTAGATGCACAATGTGTAAGATGGCGAAGATATTTATTTTGCTGTTTGATACTGATCGGTCTTCAACTCATCAATATTCAGGCTGATCTCTCTGCCTTTTGCTACGCATCATGCAGTACAATGACGCACATCAAGTGCCGTAGGCTCAGACTCATTACAACTTGAAGCACATGACCTCTTGAAATGCTCAATTCATTGTGATATCGTATGGCAAAGTAGGACTTTAGCTCTCACTCAGAGAGCCCATATCCTTCAACAACTCTCGATACGAATCCGCCTCCGCCACCATCTCCTCCATCCCCCTCGCCTTCCTCATCGCATCCTCAATCCTCGCAAACTTCCCTCCGGCCTCCGGTCTCCTTCCCAACTCCGCATCCCACAGCGCGCCACCAACATTCCCTTCCTCCGCAGACATCTGCTCATAGATCTCATCCCTCGGCCCTTCCCCGTCCTTGCCCGTCTCGCCTGGGACGCGCGGGATAATGTGGACGTGGACGTGCGACACCGTCTGCCCCGCATCGGCGCCGTCTTGGACCGCAATGTTAAACGATCCAGCCTCCGGCGCTGCTGGTTCTGACGTGGTCGTGGTGTTGGAAAAGTAGCGACGGGCGAGCATCTTTTGGATGAGCTGTGTCGTCGTGAAGAGGTCCGTCACCTCGACGGGCTGGAGATCCGTGAGGCGTTTATGGGGTTTGAGGGGGCAGACGAGGACGTGGCCTGGGAGGAGAGGCTTGAGGTTTACCAGGGCGAAGGAGTGTGCTGTCTTGTAGAAGACCTGGTCTTGTGTTAGTCCGGGGCTGTAGCCGTGATCCCAGAGTTCAAGTTGTTGTTGAATGAAAGAAAGCGGTGCTCATGTCACACTTATAGAACGTTTCCAGATCAAGATGATTATTGAGAAGCCGCAAAGCTATCATGGGATCGATGACTCTCATAGCAGGGGTTCCATGGCTGAGAAATGAAATGCAACTAACCTGGCTGGTGACCTCAAATGGCCCGAAATGAATCTTATCTTGAGAGCTCATGTTTCGTCGAATATCAAGGCTCTGAGTTCGAAATACCTTCTGTGCCAAAGACCGTGACTTGGACATAGCCTGTTGTCAACTATGCAAGGCGATGAATTCGATTTGTAGCTTCAACGAGAGTAGATTGATTGCGGGCGATCGTTGGTGGAGTTAAGTTTGGAAATTGTTAGCACAGGTGAAGAAATACAGTGGCGTCATCATCACAGGCAAAGTCCCCTTGAACATTTCTAATCCTTGCTTCATCGCAGTTGGTCAATTGACATTCACCACACATCTACAACTTGAACACATAGTGTTTATGAAGCTGCGGGCGAATCACTTTGAGCATGAATGATACAGTAGACTTCAGAGTTGATGTGTTTTTGAATTCGCCATTCCCCAAATGCCATTTTAGACCCTAACAGATCCCCGATACCTGGTATAGTACACAATTACATGGGCGCAATTAGTTGCGACTCTTTCTCTATTGAGCGAGGGTCTTCCCCTGCACCGGGAGAAGCTTTGACTGCTGTGCCGCAAAGAACTTCTTTGACTCCAAGCACCGCTCGCTCTTGCAGCCAGGGCACCGCAGCTCCATCTGCGGCGAGCAAGCTACATTACTGTTAAGATGCGCCTTAGCAATGTCGGCGAGAGCCTTGATGAAGACGGGGCTGCCGTTCAAACTCTCAACTCTCTTGACAGTCTCCGGGCTTCCAGAGTCAGCGATGACCTCGAGATCCAATTCGAACAGGGTCTCGATGTGGTCCGATGTGAAGGCAATAGGAATCAACACCAGGTCCTTCTGGCCCTTGTGGACGTAGTTCTCGACCGAGTCGGAGGTCTGGGGACCCAGCCAGGCGGACGGGCCGACCTGAGACTGCCAGCAGAGGCGGTAAGGGTTGGAGAACTTGAGGCGCTGCATGACAGCGTAGACGGTCGCAGCAACCTCGGCCGGGTACGGGTCGCCTCTGTTGACCACAGACATGGGCAAGCTGTGGGCGGAAAAGATCAGGACCGCGTCCTTGCGTCTGTCCTCGGGGTATTCCAACAGCTTCGCCTCAATATTCTGCGCAAACGCCTCGACCAGGCCCGGGTGTACCGGCCAGCGATCAATCACACTCCATGAGATGGTACCGTCGCCGGGTGTCGTTTCTCCGACAGCCTTTCCTTCCAGCCGTTGCCGCCACTTCCACAACTCGTTGATGCTGCTTCCTGTCGTTGAGCACGAGTACTGGGGGTATTGTGTGAATGCGACCGCTCTTCCACCTCTTCCCTTTCCAAAGCCATCTTCGAAAAGCTTGTTGTACATCTCCTCCGTCAGGGGGTCGGCGTAGCGGAAAGCCGTATACGGCTTGTGCGGTGCGGTCTCGGGGGAGATCTCATCAAGGATCTTGCACATCTCGGCGTTTTGATACTCGGACCACTTGCGAATAGGTGAGCCGCCGCCAATATCGGCGTATTGCTTCTGAATCTTGGGGGTTCGTCGCTTCGAAATCAGGGGACCGAGGTAGTTCTGGAAACGGCCGAGGGGAATCAAGTCGCCATCTGCCTGCGCATCGTTAGCTCTGTGTCGAAGATGTTGAGTGATGAGGAGCACCTACAAAAAGCCTGCTCAGGAAGTCTCCCACTTCGTCCGTTGTTGAAGGACCACCCATGTTCATGAATACCATCGCCGTTGGGCCCTTGGATCCAACAGAGTTTTGTGTCACAGGTGGTACCACGGTTGCCATTGATCTAAACTGTGTAACCGACTGCTTCGGCAGCGCTTTAACGAGTGGCGAGGAGGCATTGCGCGCTGATGTTGTCGCCTTGGACAGACTCCGCGAGAGCTGTCCTGTTGAGTATTTAAGCGCCATTGGATCGTGACAATGAATGGTTGTGAAAACTTGAGAAAAAAAAAAGTGTAGTGGGAAGGGAAAAGGTGGTTATTGTTCGACTGGCTCTAGATTCTCGCACTTGTGGCAATCCGCGAACCCCGGTGATGCGTCGATGCTGGGCGACACTTTGAGGAATTCGGGCTTCGATGACGAAGGAAATCCCGATCTGGACAGCAGCCCACCGAGCACCGAGCAGGACCCCTGCGAGACCGAGAAGATACCTCGATACTTGTCGAATCCCCTGTTTTGGCCCTGAAACAGCTGCTGCCTGGGTACTCCCCTAACCCATGTCAGAATTGGCCAATGAGGTACTGCGTAATCCAAAAATGATAGTCACGTGATCGCGCGCTGTGACCAGGAGCTCCTGCAAGCTTGGCGCGCGAGCTCCCCAGGTTCGCGAAGGCCCCAGTCGCGCTGGCTGCCTGGAGCGACGCCTACAGGTGCTCGATACCTTATATTTATCCCCCATCGCAGCCAACGCAGTCCAAACAGCTCTTCTGGTCACATATTCATAGTGAAACATTCAAGATGACTGATCGCGGACATTTCAAAAGAGAGGAGGAGGATGAGGATGAAGCCGAGGAGGAGCTTGACGAGACCGTGAGTCTCATGCACTGTGGATCATGACTTACAACTGACCTCTCGCAGGACTTCAAGGCTCAGAAAGATGCCATTTTGCTCGCCATTGACGTGAGCTCATCAATGCTGCAGCATCCGCCCGCAACAAACTCCAAGAAGGCCGATAGGGACAGCGCCGTCGAGGCAGCTTTGAAATGCGCCTATCATCTCATGCAGCAGCGCATCATCTCCAACCCCAAGGACATGATGGGTATTCTCTTCTTCGGCACGGAGAAGTCCAAGTTCCAAGAAGAGAGCGGTAGAGCCGGTCTGGGCTACCCACACTGCTACTTGTTCACAGACCTCGATGTCCCCGCTGCTGAGGATGTCAAGGCATTGAAGACCCTGGTCGGCGCAGATGGAGAAGAGGCCGAAGACGAGGATGAGGTACTAGTGCCGGCGGAGGAAGAAGTTCAAATGGCCAACGTCTTCTTCTGCGCAAACCAAATCTTCACCACTAAGGCGGCGAATTTTGGCAGCAGGCGACTGTTCATCATTACAGATAACGACAATCCTCACGGCAAGAACAAGGATGCCAAGTCGGCCGCGGCTGTCCGTGCAAAAGACTTGTACGATCTTGGTGTCGTAATAGAACTTTTCCCTATTACCAGAGACGAGAAGAAGTTTGACCTTGGCAAATTTTACGACGTAAGTATTGAGCCGTATTACTAGAATGGGCACAAAGCTGACCGTACAGGACATCATCTATCGAGACCTAATTGCAGAGGCCAATCTGTCCGAGACCAGAAACTCAAAGTCCGGCGATGGCCTCAGCCTCCTCAGCTCATTAATATCAAACATCAACTCCAAAGAAACGCCCAAACGCTCCTTGTTCTCCAACCTCCCCTTCGAGATCGCCCCTGGACTCAGAATCTCGGTCAAGGGATACAACATTCTCCACCGTCAGACCCCAGCAAGAACATCATACATCTGGCTGGACGGTGAGAAACCTCAGCTCGCCAACGGCGAAACGACACGAATCGCCGAGGATAGTGCCCGGACAGTTGAAAAGGTCGAGTTCAAGAAGGCTTACAAATTTGGTGGCGAATACGTGCACTTTGCACCAGAGGAGCAGAAGTCTCTCAAGGACTTTGGCGCCCCCGTCATCCGCATCATCGGCTTCAAGCCGCGGTCTATGCTCCCCTTCTGGGCAAGCATCAAAAAATCAACATTTATCTTCCCGTCAGAGGAGGACTACGTTGGCTCCACCCGTGTCTTTAGCGCTCTATGGCAAAAGCTGCTCAAAGACCAAAAGATTGGCATTGCATGGGCCGTCACCCGCGTCAATTCTAGCCCAATTCTCGTTGCCGTCATCCCTTCCCATGAGAAGTCTGAAGACGACTCAGGAACACCTTATCTACCCGCCGGTCTTTGGCTCTACCCGTTGCCCTTCGCCGACGACCTGCGCGAAGGCCCTGAGCCTCCAAGTACCCTCGTCGTCAGCTCCAACGAGCTCATCGACAAGATGCGCATCATCGTTCAGCAGCTCCAGCTGCCGAAGGCCATGTACAACCCCAAGAAATACCCCAACCCATCGCTGCAATGGCACTACAAGATCCTCCAGGTCTTGGCCCTCGAGGAGGAGTACCCTGAAAAGGCGGAAGATCTCACAGAACCAAAATACAAGGCCATCAGCAAGCGTGCAGGCGGCTATCTCGACGATTGGGCCGAGACTCTTCAGGACGAGACCAAGATTGCGTTGGCAAAGGCCGCCATCAAGCGCGAGGCGGCCGACGGTGACGACGAGAGGCCAGCCAAGAGAGCAAAGGCGGCGCCGAAGGCTGCAAAGGTTTCCGGGTCTGGTGTGACAACTGCACAGCTGAAAGAGTCTGTGGCAAGCGGTGCGGTGAACAAATTGTTGGTAGCCGATTTGAAAGAGATCCTTGCGGCGAGAGGACAGAGCACAGCAGGCAAGAAGAGCGAGCTGGTTGAGAGAGTTGAAGAGTGGCTTGAAGAGAATGCTTGATGCTACTAGGGCATGACGACTTCGCGATGAAACTGTATTATACCACTTGATGCCGAGTTTTGGGCAGGCTTATTGAAGGAAGATTCATACTTGTGCAATACGCTCAAACATGCCGTATTCGTTGCTCTGATGACAGGCCGAGTCATCGATGTTCTCTCGTCTTCGAATTTACGCCTTTCAAACTGCCTCGGGGGCGCTCAGCCTCTGGACCCAACCAGTGGTAGCCCGTTCATCCGTCCTACGTGACGCCATAGCAGAAGAGGCTGACCGCTCCGTACAAGTAAGTGTCCAGTCATTGTCATAGACGGATACCACAACATGTCGCCAAGTCTCAGTCAGCAAGACCCGAATCCTTCAGAAGTATTCCAACCTGGGAAAAGAGGACCTTGGCTGATGCGTTACGAGCCACAAACGATAGTCTCGAAATCTTATTCGTTGAGGACCTGTGCCAGGTAACAACGAATATACAAATTGACCCGATCCGTCTGGTGTTGATAGTGTGGTGCGGTGGGCTTCAATCAGTTATGTGACGCTCTTTGGGTTCAGCTTGTAATATGGTCTTCAATGGACCATGATGATTCGGTGCGTGACTCGCCTTTTGCGGAACTACCATACCTCAATTACAGCGCTGTTTTCCAAGAAGGTACACGAATGTAGGGCTTTCAGTCCAACGTATTCCTGTCGACACTTTGTTCCTGGGATCTATTGGGGCCCCAGGTGCAGTCAAACGATCAAAAATGGATACATGGGGCAACGTCAAGATACCCATGATCGAACTCTTTTCGTATCATCCCAGGTATGGCAGCAGCGAGTGGATTCCTGTGGATCAGGACCAGGATGAAGAAGTCTATTCTGCACTCATCGGGGTTCCTGTTGCCAACTTTTCTCAAAGACACCGGTCCATTCTTATCTTACAGACATCATACCTGGCGTTGGACTGTACCGAGCTGCGAAATACTACAACAGATGCCTACAAAAAGTTCGATATTCAGCGGGAAGGGTGCCAATACGGCCAGTGCAATTATAACTTCACATGAGACAAAGTTACCACCATTCCCTACCCCCAGGGAAGGCGGAATTTCACGAGCGAAAAGGAGCGCTGCAACGACCTTCGAGTTGCTCCCAGAAACTTAATCTACTATAGCTACAATCCTCACAACTTTCATGGGGCTACAATAGCAGAGTGTTCTATGACCACGTCCTTCGTCGACGTCCAAGTCTCATGCTTTGGTTGGGACTGCGGGGTCGTAGCGATGCGACCGTCGGCACTAACGCCAGAAGTAGGCCGGAATGCAAACACGACCTTCTTTGATGGCTGTCCCGCAGTAGAATATAGTGTAGGGATATGGTTTTTCAGCTATTTCCAGACTATGACTAAGGCCGTGTTTAAGCACTTTGAGACTTCGATTTCTGTCGTACAGTCGTACTCGGTCGATCCTAGTTTGGGGTTAAATGTCTCGGCATTCTGGGAACTTCCACCGGTTTACACGGTGGGACAAGAGTTGTTTTCGATCCGCCTGGGGCAGCTTCTGAACACCTACTGGTGGGCCATGATTGGCCAAGAGCCGTTATTCCTAGGCCACCCCGAGAACTACGACAGCTTGACGAAATGGAAAGCGGGACTACCGGAGCACCCGATAAACGACAAGTATGTGTTCTCGAAGACACAAGCCACTGTCTACGTTAGTGTCAACGTCCTACGATGTAACAAGACTTGGATGGCCGTTCTCATCATGGCAACTTTGGTGTTGCTGCTCACGGCAATCTTGGACTTGGCGCTGAGCCTGAACATCTGGGTCCCGAAGCTCCTCATGAACATGTCGACTTTGACGAGGGGTAACCCCAACTTTGACATGCCGGCCGGCGGCGGCGCGCTTTCAGACGAGACCATAGCTAAGCTTTTGGCCAATGTCAAAGTCAGGTTTGGAGACGCTGAGGGGATGGATGATTCTAATGGTCTCATCGTTGGGAGTTGCGTAGAACATGGGGTCGCGTATCTAAATTGACGGAGGGGAAACTTTACGCTTGACGGCTTTGCCCAGATAACATGACAGATTCATCTTTCCCTTTACCAGGCAAGGACTAATGATGGAATCTTGCAAGCGGGGTGGTGTCTTGATATGATGCGAAGCGATGTTCAGGTTGAGACTCCATGGTGCCCCTCCGTCGTCATGCTGTTGTGGACTCGTCCAAATTACTTCCTTTTCGAAGAGGATATAGATATCATAAGGTTTCTCGGGTGGCGTCTCCTTGCAAACAGGACCGTCTCCGACATCTCGGAGTTAGCCGGCGGCCACTGTTCGGTGAAGTGGAACCGACCGGCGAGTTGTGACGGAGGAAACTCCCCACGGACTCTCCGGAGGACAACAGAAGCCCGTGAGTGCCGGGAAGGCTGCCAGAAAGAGTCACGGGAAGGGAGCATTTGTCACTTTGTGTGATCACTGATTGCCTTGAATCTTCGAGGCAACCTATCGATGAAATGACTGCGCCAGATAAAGTACCTCGGTCTACCTCAAGGCTCTTCGCAATTTGTTCGCTCATCGACTTGCTGCTCCTCAAAGGGGACAGGGAGATTGAGATGACCAGCGCTCGGACAGGCGGGCTTTTGCGGAACGGTTGATGTATTCACGCAATGCGATTAAAGACATGAAAATCCGGCATGGTGTAGCGGTTAGCATACTCCGCTTTCATTGAAAGGTCCGGAGAGATCCGAGTTCGACTCTCGGTGTCGGAACGTTTACATTTTTGCGATTCGTTGTAACGACTCAGGAGGCGAGCGCCATTCCTATCTTTTTTCTTCTTTTTTGGAAGTTCCGGCGAGGGAGAGGGTATCAATTCATTTCTATTGACTTCATTCATGTGGCGGTGTTGAAATTCTTGTTTTCGGTCTGTGCTTTGCGGCGAAACCAGTCGAACTCAAAATGTCGTTCGCTGTGTTGGTGGTAGTGGGCGAACTGCGTCACCATCCCTTACCTCTATCACTGAGCCTCTGTGCGGATGAAATGAGCACAAGATCAAAAGAACTCGTTTCCGATCAAGATGTTGGACTGGAAAGGTGAAGCTTAGACACTTTCATTCTATTTCTAGAATAGCCATGAACGTATTCATAGACACCCATCTGGATGCTCTAAGAAGGCCGCAACTGGCCAAAGTACCCAAGGTATATAGCATATACCTACACGTAGAAGCAAACTCCTCCTCATCTACCCTATCAATTCCATCTTCTAATATTAAACCCCCTATCATAACTTGGAATCGGATTCGCCCCAACATGCCCATAAAAGTGCCGATGGTACCAATTCGAATTCTCCCCATCCGCAACCGCATAACACGACCCTCCCTTCCCCGGATCACGATCCGCTACTTTCTTCCGCGCACCGGCCCTCTCCTTGACGTCTACTGACATTTGGTAGTAACTAAAATACTAGTCCTGGCACTCTGCTACATAACACTGGTTCGTCTTGCCCACCCGCGACTGGGCGCCGAAGACCTTGTTGAAGACGTCGTACATGGCTAGCGCTTTTTTGATGTTCTTCTGGCCGATGCGGTTGCAGGTCCAGTCTGTGGTTCCACGTTCTTGGAGAGAGGAGGGAGGTGCTTGGGAAGTGGGGATGTCCCATGCTAGTGGACTTGCGCTGCTGCGATCGAGGGCGTCGAGGAGGTCAGCCGGGTGCTGGTGAATGTTTTCTTTGGTAGTGATGTTTGTTTGCTCAGCAAAGGGCATAGATCTCTTCCAACCCTCGGAGCCACCTCTGGGATCAGAACAGCCCGCACACTGCACGAAACCCCCCCTGTCCCTCGCGGAACTTTGGCTTCGCAAACGGGTCTTCGCTGGTCCCTCCGTCTCTGAGGACCGGGTTCCAGGGATCGTCCTCAACATCTCTACTCGTAACTGGAGTAGGCATCCGCGTCCTCCAACGTGCTTTGCCCATAGACTCTCCTGGCCACCTCATCGGCCCCGCGCTCCATCCTACCCTCAGAATCGTCTTCAACCCCATGTCTCTGAACTGATACCCCATCTAGGATATGTCCCTCGACACCCGATCGTGACGCTTCTATGCTAACCACACTAGCCCGCGTCCACCGTGCTCTTCCCTCGCTCTCGGAGAAGCGAATGTCCTTGAAGGGTTTGTTACTGTCGCTGCCGTCGCGGTGTCGCGTGCTGTAGGGCCGGTCAAGAATCTCTCTGAGCCTCTCTTCGCCGTCTCCGTTGAGCTCGGCGTCGAGGATAGGCATTTTCCGTCCAGGAAGTGATAGGGCCTGTTGCGGAGCGCCGAGGGTTAGAGAAGCGGCTTGGAGAAGAAGCAAGTAGATAAGAGGGAACATCTGGATAGGACGATTAGTTTACTCATTAACGATTCAGGAATCGTGGTTCGGGTGCTTGCCATTGTGCAGACTTCCACTGAGCACCTAGCCGGCAAAAGCTTTCGATCTGAGTTGTCGATTTGGTGGTGAGTTGGAACAAAAATGAGAGGAGAAAACCTCCACCCGGGAATTAGGTACTGATGCCTCTTTTCCCTCCGTGTTTACGAAGTCAATACGTGCTCACGAAGCAAGGTACGGATTACCGTCGTACTGGTATTCTCAAACACAAAGCTCTGTTCAATAGCCAATGGGTGCCGAGGCCAAGGAAAGGCAGAGGCACTCTTTCAAGAGTCTTTCAAATTTGACGGATGCGGCCAGTCAAAGCTATGTAAAGTAGATACAAATCTTGAGCCAATCTCTGAGTAAACTGGCGTCTGAACAATCAAGAAAAGGTGTATTGATGGTATCGCCGGATACTCTTGTATCCTATGCGGCAAAGTCTCCGCTGCTCTAAATCAAAAGAACCACAACCCTCTAGCGCTCAATGGCGCTGACGTCTATGTTCTAGGTATCTCAATCCTCCTCTGGCTATTCTTGTGAAACTACACAAACACTACATAGAACGTACAACTCTCAACCCACACGCACACCCAAACATTAGTTGTTGGGTATCAACTCCTCCTCCGTCAACACCTCCAGCGCCTCTGAGCTAGCGTTGGAGCTCAAATGCGGCGCCGATGAAGGTACAGGCTCGTAGGTCTCCTCGAGGAACACTGTGTACTCGGTTAGCAACGGAGTTTCACGTAGGTACAGCACGGGCGGAATTGAACAACTTACCACCGGGCCGCACCATGAAGCTGGCCAACAAAGCCAGGCCAAATAGGGCTGCAAGGAGGACGAAGATGGCCTGATCAAAGACGCCGACAGTCGAGTAGTAAAGTGTGTTGAAGGCAATCGGACCCAGCACCCTCGAAAGGGCGTGCAAAACGCCAATGGCCCCGAGCAGCTGCCCGACCTGGTCCGCAGGCACATGCTTGGTGATGGCGGCTTGAATGGTCGCACTTCCGAGGCCGCCAAAAGCAGTGACCATGCCAGAAAGCACGAATACGGCCTCGCTTCTCGCAAACAGGTATCCAAGGGAGCCGGTGACGTCCGAGAGCAGAGCGAAGCGAAGAATCCAGCAGTCGACGCTATCGGCGCCGTTGTTTGCCTCAACGATGGAAACGCCCGATACCCTCCTCCGGTAGGCTGCGGGCCGCACGCGGAAGACATAGTTGACCAGCGGGAGGACGACAAGCAGCGCGACAACGCGGACCATGGACACGGCGGAGATGTAGCGAGAGCTCTCCAGGGTACCCCAGCCCCACGTCTCGGGGGACTCGGAGTAGAGCAGGATGACAGTGCCGGCGCTCATGGCGGCCCCCAAGAGGATCATGTCGGTGAAGGAGAGCGCGACGATGTTGAGACGCAGTCTCGAGGAGGTTCCGGATCCTGTGGGCCAGAGGATCCTGAGGGGAGCCAGGGGGTTGGCCGCCTTGATCGTGGACCAGGTTCCATCGCCGGCCTTTGCCTCCTTTTCTTGGTCGTGCTTTTGGCGCGCGCGGAGCTGGCGTTTCACGCTGAGGGACTCGGGGACGATGAAGCCAACAAAGATGATGAAGTAGATGTGGCATCCCATGGTGACGTAGAATACGGAGAGGAGGTTGCCTGTCCAGGCGGCAAAGTAGCCAGTCAAAAGGGGGCCGAAGGCGAGACCGCTGAAGAGGCAGGCATGCAGATATCCGATGCGTACGCCGCGCTGAGATGGCGCGGTGCAATCGCTGGTGTACGAGTTGATGAGGACGCTGCCTGCTGTGAAGGATCCGGTGAGACCGTCGGCGACGGCACCGAGCAGCAGCCAGTTGTAGTGGAATGTCCAGGGGAAGTTGGCACACATGATGACGATGAGCTCGGCCACGACGCCGCCGCAGGACGCTAAAGCCAAGAGCTTCCGTCGGCCATACCGATCTGAGAGCTGACCCAACTTCGGGGCCGTGATGGCGGAGAGAATGCCGGTGGTCAAGTTGATGGCCAGGGTGAACATGGACACGCTCTTCTTAACCTCGGGGATGAGGCATTGCGGATTATCCGCGCCGAGTATCACAGGAGTGAAAGCGAAGGCCGGATCCAGCGCCGTCTCGTCGGCGAAATGCCTTTGGCATACCAGATCGACGATTCTATGTCACACACGAATTAGCGACTGCGATCGGCCGCATAGACATCACGAAATCATTTTGACATACAGGTTCAACTTGGGCACCAGAGAGCCTCCAAAGGCCAGCGTGAAGAGGGCATACGGGATGAGAAGCCAGTAGACCTGGCGCATAAAGAGTCAGCACGTTTGTTCGGGGTCACAGAGCGGCCCGAGCCGGAGCCGGAAAGAGAGAATCCTACAGAGGGCGTCCTCCACCACGGCAAGCCTTCGAAGTCCGCATAGCCCGGCCACGTATCTTCACAGGAGCTGTCGCCGTCGCGAGCGCCTGCGCTCAAAAGCGATGTGGTCTCTGTTGCCTCGTTTATGGGTTTCCCGTGGACATCTTGGTCTACCCGGGTGACTATGATGTCGTCTTTCGGTGCCGACATTTTTGGCTATTTCGTGTTGTTGTTGCTCGTGTGCTGTATCGAGTCCGTTTGTGGTGTAGTGTGCTTGGTACAGAACACGGCACAACTGTCGCAAATAGAATCCCGAAGCACTTTCGAGCTTGGTATCTGACAGACAAAAGGTCGCCAATTTTTTATCGAGTGTTTGTGCCTTTGGGGGAGCTGTGTTGTCGAGCGTTGGAGCTATATTCTGTTTTGGACGTTGTCGTTGGGGGCGAGCGCGGTAGGATGGACAGAGCGACACTGCCACGATTCCATTCCTGTAGGATCGTGTTCCGACGTACACAGCAGTTGGACGCCTCTCCGAGAGTAGAACTGTCAGGCCGGAAGAGGGACCAGAGCTGGAAGAGCAGAGGGGTACGGATACATAAGCAAGGGAAAGCGCTTTGCTCGGCGCAACGAGAAGTGGGAATGGGAAAAGAAATAGAAATCCGAGCTACGTAGCAGAGGACCGGGGGCCGCTGCCCACATCAAGAGATAAGGCGAGTGTGGGACAGCGATGGACGCTGATGAAATCGAGCCAAGGGCCCGGGCTTGCGAGAGACAACCACAGTGACCACACCCAGAAGTTGAGCAGGGGGGGGGCGGCTTCGACGACGGGTGTGGAACAAAGTGGGATGGGCCTAGGTACTAGGATGGAAATGGGATGGGATGAGATGTGTCGTGGACTCGTGGAATGGGGACAGCGCCCCTCCGGACATGGATCGTAATGTTCGCTTCAGAAAGCGGAAGGTCATAGCATCTCGAGGCGCCAGTGATTCCTATTGGAGCAGCGTTGGGACGTTGCTAAGATCAGAGAAAGAGAGAGAGAGAGAGAGAGAGAGCAGCGCAACGCTTCGTCCGGCGTCCGTAACGGCCTAAACACGTTTCGGTTGGGGCCCTTGAGGCTTGGGGGGCGTTGGACTGACGGGCTACGGGGAACTCAGGGATTCTGATAGAGAGGTCCATCATATTGCGGTCATGTCTCAGAGTTTGTGAGTTGTATTGGGTGTATTGTGTGGGTGGGATTAGCCCAGCGAAGGGAAACGAAGACGGCAGTGATTTGCCTGTAAATCCTCGGAAACTCGTACAGTAAGCGAAGAGAACAGGGAGGCCAAGTTTATGGTCGGGGAATCGGGGAAAGATTGAGTCGGAGAGAGATACAAGGTACGAAGGCCGAGGGAGAGCGAAGGAGGAAAGGTGACGACAAGACAAGACGACAGGACGCTCCCTGCCGCGGGTTGATGAGCAACCATCCCGTAGGTCCTAGGATAGGTGCTTCCATCATAGGTGCGTGCCTGCCGGACTTGAGAGTGACCCCGTGTGAGTGAACCAATCTCGTGGGACAGAAGGCGCATGAGTTGGCGTCTGCCAGGCCTATCCATGACGCAGTTTCGCAGCTTCCATGGCCGATAAGGGGGGGCTGCCACACCTCCAGAAGTTCAGCCACAATCCAGATCTGTCAGGGCCGCCGTTGCTTCGATGGACGGTACCTAGGTACTTGGAGGTTAGTGTAGACAACTCCGCAAGCCTGGGAATGTGATTTCTAAGCTTGAGCCACTCCCGCGCGGGCACTTTACCCCAAGTTACATCACCAGAGTCAGCTCCGCAGGCTAGTTAGGTATCTGACTGTACGGAAGCAGAGTACAACGCCCACCGGCTCGCCAAAAGGCGTTGTTGACTTTCAACCTGGCTACTGATTGTCGTACGCAGTGTCATCGTCGTCGCAGTTCAGCAGGCCTCACATGTCCGAATCCCGGTTTATCAAAAACAATGAATCAACTCTCTCGCGCGCGCGGTGCCATGTAGTTGCACAAAGACATGCTCCATCTAGAATTCCTGTTCACTCCTCCTTTCCTTAACATATCTGGATGCCAGCACAAACTTTGATGCCCAATATGGCAACACAGCAGCACATTGTCCAACACGAGTCGACAAGGTTCGGTGGTCGGCATGTTTCAGCACCGACTGGCGGACCGGTCCCGCGGAACCACTGTCCTGGAAGACGCCATGCTCTTCCCTCACTTCCACTAAAAGTTTGCCCTGCATCCTGTAAATTCTGTCCAACTTTCCCCTCTCTTTAAGTAGGCTGGACAGGTCGGCACGTTTCGTCTTGTCGTTGTCGTTATCGTATTCCGGTTTCCGATTCGGTGACCCCTCTTAAGACAATCCGAGAGCGACTTGGACCATTTGTTGGTGATGGATAGATTATCCCATCTGCCACTTGGGGATGTGTTTGCCGCCATCCGACGGCATATCCCCTGGGCTTCCGCGAGGGTGCGCTGTCTTGTTTTGACTCTGGGAGACGACACCTCTTAAATTGTCAGATGGTGTTTTGCGCAAGCGACGTGTTGCCATTGCCTTTCTCGCCATGTGCTCGGTGCTGTTTTGATCGCCTACTGCCGTGTTCCGCGGTGCCTGATACCAGGAAACGGCTTGTTGGACAGCATGAGTCGGCACCTTGCGTAAACTCCGCTCGACTGCGTGGACCCCAAACGCCACGCCATATTGCAAAGCAAGTGCTCAGAGCTCGTCACGAACAACTAATTCCCCCAAAACATTGCCTCCTGGCAGGTAGGTATTACGCTACATCGAGAGAGACAGAAGAAACCCCCCTCCCTTTCGACCCAACAGGACGCGTGGATGCTACTATGCCTCGGCAGCAGAATGAGGAAAGTGAGGGGGTGACAAGCTGAGAGTTCATGAATGCGGCTGCTCTTATCAATCTGTTAGCGGAGTTGGGGCTCCAATCACTGCCAAGATCCATGCACCCTCACCTTGTGTCGTCGTAATCGACTTCGATCTATGCTCGCACTACATTGCTTAAGCAGGGCAGCACCATTACCATGTTAAACTTCCAGCTCGAAACCGCGGGCTTCGTAAAAATGCCGCCGTTATCTAGAATCAGAAAGATGCAAGAATGGTGTGTTCCTGACCGTTCAGGAATGCGATTGCTAGAATGGGCTTTCGTAAACTTCGGGTCAAAGCATTTTGTCAGGAGTCTTTTGTCGATGACTTTAAATGTTCTGACCAAAGAGGAGCTTGCATCGGTGATCTTGTCAGGCTTTCAATCCGGATTATCAAGAGCTATGAATTAAGTTCTCTTGGGAATTTCCGACCTCACCGAGTATACCGAGGCTGTCCAGGTGTGCTTCGGTGAGCTGCATTAGGTACTCCATGTGGAACCAATCACCAATCACTCTCCAAAGCTGACTAAGACTTGCCAAGCCGCTCTCAGCCTTGTGTACCCATCCTTCACTTTTGGCCTCGCATCATAATTTCTTTCGCGCAACGCCCTCGCGAAGGGGCTTTTCGACAACCACAACCCGCGCCGCTCTCCGAAACTCTTCAGCACTCCTCGCCATCATGGGTGTCGTCAAGGGAGGTGTTTGGACCAACATTGAGGATGAAATCCTCAAGGCCTCCGTGTCCAAATATGGTCTGAACCAGTGGGCGCGTGTCTCGTCACTGCTCGCGCGCAAGACCCCGAAGCAATGCAAGGCAAGATGGAACGAATGGCTGGACCCGAGTATCAAGAAGACGGAATGGAGCAAGGAGGAGGACGAGAAGCTTCTGCACCTCGCCAAGCTTATGCCGACACAATGGCGCACCATCGCACCTGCCGTCGGCCGAACCGCCAACCAGTGTCTCGAGCGATACCAGAAGCTCCTCGACGAAGCCGAAGCAAGAGAAGCTAGTCAATTCGGTCTCACCGGTATCGATGGCGGCGAAGCATCGGCGCCAAGCGCCGACGACGTTCGACGATTGCGCCCCGGCGAGGTTGACCCAGACCCGGAGAGCAAGCCCGCCCGACCCGATACGATCGATCTCGACGAGGATGAAAAGGAGATGCTGAGCGAAGCCCGAGCGCGTCTGGCCAACACACAGGGAAAGAAGGCCAAGAGAAAGGCAAGAGAACGTCAGCAAGAGGAGTCGCGCCGTTTGGCTGCGCTGCAGAAGCGACGCGAGCTCAAAACGGCTGGCATCAACATCAAGGTCGTCACGCGTAAGAAGGGCCAGATGGACTACAATGCCGACATTCCTTTCGAGAAGAAGGCTGCCCCGGGATTCTACGATACCGCTGAGGAGCAGGTCCGGAACGAGCACCAGCGAGAGGCTTTCGACCCGAGAAAACAACAACTTGCGAGCAAGCGCAAAGGCGACGGCGACGATGATGGAGAAAACAAGAGGAGGAAGAAGGAAAAGGAGGCGCCCTCGGCATCGTTCCAGGCTGCCGTGAAGGCGGGCCAGATGCAGAAGATCAGGGAGGCCGAGCAGAGCAGCAAGAGACGAGCGCTGAATCTGCCAGCTCCTCAGGTGAGCGAGGGCGAGTTGGAGGAGATTGTGAAGATGGGTATGATGGGTGAGAGGGCAAGCACGATGGCACGCCAAAGCGAAAACGATGCAACACGCGGCCTGATCAGCGAATACTCGACCCTTAACAACAACGCCCCGATTCGAACACCTCGAGCTCCCGCCCAGGAAGACCATATCGCGAATGAGATCCGGAACATCAGAGCCTTGACGAGCACCCAGTCTTCACTACTCGGTGGCGAGAATACTCCGCTACACGAAGGAACCGAGTCGACTGGATTCGATGGTGTCGCCCCCCGCAAGCAAGTGGTTGCAACACCGAATCCCCTGGCAACACCAATGCACACAGATAGCGTTGGGCAAACGCCGGCTCGCGTTGGACAGACTCCGATGAGGACGCCCCGTGACAGCTTTGCGTTGAACGCCGATGGAAGCCAGACCCTCGTTTCAGCGACACCGAGAGATGTCAAGATGCGAGAAATGGCACTGCGCAGCCAATTGAAGCAAGGTCTTGCATCGTTGCCCAAACCCAAAGATACCGAATGGGAGCTTGAACTTCCCGAAGATCAAAGGGAGGTCACTTTGAGCGAGGATCAGTTGATGGAAGACGCTGGAGAGAGGGATCGCCGGGAACGCGAAATCAAGGCGGCACAAGAAGCGCTGGAAGCGCGGAGAAGGACACAGGTCAT